GGCCAGAAGAATATACCCCACAGATGCAGAACCCTTCCTCTTTGTGCCCATCATCTTCCCCACTCCACCAGACACAAAAACCTTGTGCTGCAGTAGAGTCTACAGCTTTTTATGTGAAGATCAGACAGCAGCAAAGACACCTCCACAGACCTGCAGCAGAGTGCTGAGGTGGCCAGTGTGGGCTTGGGGAGCACACCAAACCCAGATGGGTCACTCACAGGGCTCATACAGCTTATGGAGACTGGGTAGGGTCTGTCCCACGCTACCTCCCCGGCACTCTGGTAATAAGTAGCAACCTAAATAAGTCAGATTTTTGAGCAGCAGGCTGGTCTCGATGAGGTTCATCCTGAGACATGTAAAGAATGGGCTGTCAAGCTGCCTGTTAGTTGGCTTAGTGCGGCAGCTTAATACTTGAGATGTTGGACACCAAGGACAAGAAAAGGGCAAAATTATTCTTTAAAAGAAGGAGAAACTGAACACCTGCTTGTTCAGCCTGGAGAAGAGAAGGCTCTGGGGAGACCTCCGAGCAGCCTCCCAGTACCTAAAGGGGCCCTACAAGAAATGTGGAGAGGGACTTCTTACAAGGGCATGTAGGGACAGGACAAGAGGAATGGCTTTAACCTGCCAGAGGGGAAACTGAGATGAGCTCTGAGGCAGAAGCTCTTCCCTGGGAGGGTGCTGAGGTGCTGGCACAGGGTGCCCAGAGAAGCTGTGGCTGCCCCATCCCTGGCAGTGTTCAAGGCCAGGTTGGACACAGGGGCTTGGAGCAACCTGCTCTAGTGGAAGGTGTCCCTGCCCGTGGCAGGGGGTTGGAACTGGGTGAGCTTTGAGGTCCCTTCCAACACAAAACAAGTCTGTGATTCTGATTCTCAACTGCAATCCTCACATAGATGCAGGGACAAAGCACTCACAAGCACATAGAAGAATGCAAGAAAAAAAGAAAATAAACTTTATTTGGTTTGTTTTAAAGAACAACAAAGCATGTCAGACCTACTACTCTCCCCTGCAAGAAAGCTGCAAGCGTTGTGGGAAGGGGTAAGCCGTAGGCATCATACATTCTTGACATTACCAAGGTTTATGGAGTATTCTCCCAAGGTACTATTATGGGCAAGATAAGAAAACAATTCAAATGAAAACATAGAGGGACAGCACAAAGTTGGTAGATTAAATACATGCACAGATTAATTGCTAATAGTGTATGGTCAAAAATGGTTCTTCCTTTCCTTTTACGTGCCTTAACTGGCTAAACTCACACTGCAACCTTCCCTTGATGGGACAACTTGCCTGCCCCCTCACCATCCAGCTACCACCTTCCATGAAACTTGGAAGAGCTTAATGTCCTGGGAGCATCTGTTTCTCTGTCAAAACAGACTGAAACTGGTCCACGAGTTAAAGCCTTATTGAAACAGGACTAAGACAAACAGCAGGATCTTTTGCAAACTGGTGCGGAAAGCTGTTCAACAGACCCATGCAAATGGTGCTTCCGCTGGATAGGAAGAGTCAACAGCCTGAACACACAGTGGAGAAGTAACTTGCTAGAGAGCAAGTCTACAGGAGAGGAGCCTGCTGACTGCGAGCCAAGCACCAGCAGAGCCACGCTGTCACGTGCACACAGAAAACCAAACATCCCACTGGGATGTAACCCACGAGGCAGGGGGCAACCTCTGAGGAGAGCCCCACGCAGGGCTCTGAGAACTCACACCGCAGGAGAGACAGCCAGGGTCAGGGCAGCAAAGGGAAAAGCTGCACAAGGTCCAGAAAACATAACCCGCAGGGAAAGACTGAGCAAGCTGGAGCCAGCCAGTACAGACAGGGGTGGCTGAACAGGGGAACAACAGCAGCAGTCTTCAAACTTAGGCCAAAAGTGCTTTTCCAAAGAGAGGGAGACTGACGCACCTCCCAGTTCCCTGAGATACAGGGCAGGCAGCTTCTCTAAGTGTAAGGAAAGTGAAGGACATGAACAAATCATCTAGAGAGGTGTGGTGCCTCTTAACAACTCTCCCCCTGGTCAGAGGAAGCAGATACATAAATATCTGCCACGATTTCCATAAGGCTACTTTTGTCTGAAGACAGTGCATTGAATGTTGCCCTGATGCCTGACCTTACAACATGCTGGGACCACACAGAATCATAGAATCACAGAATAGTTTGGGTTGGAAAGGACCTTAAGATCACCCAGTTCCATCCCCTGACATGGGCAGGGACGCCTCACCACAGACCATATCGCCCACAGCTCTGCCCAACCTGGCCTTGAACACTGCCAGGAATGGGGCATTTACCCTCTCTTTTGGCAACCTATTCCAGTGCCTCACCACCCTCACAGTAAAGAACTTCTTCCTTGTAGCTAACCTGAACTTTGCACAACTAAGGGTTGACTATCCCTTGACTTATAGGGACTGGATTGAAATCTTCTTTCCTCTAATGCACCAGCCAGCCTCCAGGTAGCAGAGCACCTCAGCCTTGAAAAGGTGAGCCTGAGCTGGATGCTGGAGCATAGAGGAGCTGCCCCACAAACACAAGACTTTTATTACATGGTACAACATGAAGGCATCTAATACCAGGTCCCAGCTTCCTGACCCACAGAGAGTCCAGGCGTGAGAGGCTGGACTTCCCCTACAGCAGACCTAGCAAAGGAAGGAGCTGGAAACTCCTTTTACACTCATCTCCAAGATGTCTTGGTGTCCACTTCTTCCTTCTGGGATCCAAGATTCCACGTGAGTCCTGTATTTGGTCCACAGGATTCATTTTTTGTGGGTGGCTGTGGTCCCCCTCCTATGAACTTCCTTCAGGCCCAGCCAGACTTGCTCAGTCCTCAGGTTCCTGCGACAGGTTTTGTGATGAAGACCATTTCTTTTCAGAGAAGATGCTCTTTGGGCACAGACACTCTCAGAAAGAGGGGACAGCAGCGTCCGAGAGCTTCCTCAGCAAAAGGTGGGCAAAAGCAAGTGTAATGCCTTAAACTGGAACACCAATACTCCATTTCTAGTTTTACCACTAGTTTCTAGCCACAAAGATTTTTGTCAAGTCACCTAAAATGAGTAGCAATTTAATACTTTTGTGTCACAGTGCAAAAAGAGCTGTTTTTTCCCTTGTACTTGTAGAGGAATAACACCATTTCCATCCACAGTGGGAGACACATACTGCAAAGACCTCAAATACCCCACAATGAACAGCGTGAAAAAGGTGGGTACCTAACCTAGGAGGGAGGAACACTTGCTATAAAAACCCTATATGCTCAGTAATCCAAAGCTGCTTCATTCCACTGGAAGTAAACACACGATTTCAAGGATTCATTGCAAAAACTACTACAAAATGGTAACAAACCCCTCTGTGAGTACTCAGTCCTCCTCAGCTGTCCAGCTCTGCTCCTTCAAGTTATATCCACCACTGCAGACCAGCTAAGTTTTCTCAACCCCTCCAACCCCTTGCAGTTCCATCAGCTGGTCTCCTGTAACGTTACCCTTCTTGCTTCTTCTGAACTTGAAGTACCAATAGAAGACAGCAAGGGCCAGGAGAGGGATCAGCACCAGTGGTAAGTATAGAATGAGGTTCAGCACTGGTGGGGATAAGCAGGTTCTAGAAAAAATGGTTGACTCTGGAGGAAAAAAGAAAGAAATAGTAGTGAGGCCCCGAGCTAGTTTGAGTTTCTCTCTCCTACTGTTTTTCTATAGGTTATTGTTTTACCACTTATCCCTCAGTCTTCAACAACTATCAATTTTTAAGAATTCATACAGGCTACCTGAGGAGAAGGAGGAGATAAACCATGCAATTTGCTTCAATTTCTTGTTTTGGAAGGTCATACAGGGCCCTGGCTTGTTCAGCTGAAGTTACTCCTGGTTACAGGTGTACTTGTGCATGGCTGTGTCATTGCCCCTTGGAAAACAAACACAGGCAGGGACACCTTCCACTAGAGCAGGTTGCTCCAAGCCCCTGTGTCCAACCTGGCCTTGAACACTGCCAGGGATGGGGCAGCCACAGCTTCTCCTGGATTTTGTGAAAACCATGAAAATCACTTGTCAAAACCACACAAAAATTGGAGGAGAATTTGTCAGCAGTTATGAAGCAATTTTAGCAGTGGTTACCCACCAGTAATGGCTCACAAGAGACAGAGGGAGCTGACGAAGGAGAAAAATCTGAGTGCTAGAGGGAGCTGTGATGGACAACAGCAGGAGAGTAACAGCAGGGGGATGAAGCAGTCAGTCCCTCCCTGTGCAGTTAAATCCAGATTAGCTCTGCTGTAGCTGCAGACACACGTGAATAGGCTCTGTGTCTGCCTGTGCCTGTAGCAGGCACAAGGGAGGGCCCTACAGGGTCCTCTGAGCTCTTCCACATTGGTCAGTATAGGTAGTTCCTGCAGAAGCTACAAACACCCAGATCTATCTTTGCACCCAACTCACCCGAAGAGGGCAAAGGCTGTTTCTAGAGACCTCACTGGAGATGGACTTGCCAGAAAAAAGAATTTTTTCTCCAAAACAGTTACGAGTTCTGATCCCAATGGCACGTGGTTTGTGCCTGTGGTCCCACAGAGAGCCCACAAGCCACAGAGCACTGCAGCACAAGTGTGCTGAATGGTACCCTCTGGACCACATGTCTCACAGTCAGAGCACTTGATATCTCATATGACCACAATCTCCAACGTTTACAATGCTAAGCACCTGGGTTTCAGCCCTGGCAGCTCAACAACACTGGGACTCACTGCCTCACCTACCTGGCCCATAGCACATAGCAAAGGGCTCCCCTTCCTGGCTTCCAATACAACTCTGGTGATCTCCTCAGCACTGACCCCCTCTGCAATCCCTTAGCAAGCCCTCCCAGCCCCACTGCATCCTTGCCATTGCAGTCAGCACCACCAGCAGAGAGCTGCCGTTATCCACACCCCAAGCACGGCTAAGGGGGAACCAGTGTGGGATGAGCAGCCCCTTACACCCAGCAGCATTACCCATTGGGATGGTCAGGAGCTGGATGTACTCCGAGCGCGCCGAGGCTTGCAGAGCCCAGACCTTCCTGCTGCTGCCACTCCTGCACCCAGCAGTGGTACAGCCCAGCATCGCCCTCCTCCACGCTGCGCAGTGTCAAGCTGAAGTCGTTGGCAGCGGGGCGGCGGAGGTGCAGCCTCCCTGCCAGGCTCTCCAGGGGGTACTCGACGGAGCCGTCGCGGTGGAGAGTGAGCAGGGGCCTGATGTGGCTGCTCTCGTTGCCCCTAAACCATGTGGCCGAGAGGCGGGTGTCGGGCAGGCGGGCACCCAGCAGCAGGCAGCGCAGCGTCACCTCCTCTCCCTCCCTGGCCGAGATGCTGCGGTTGGTTTTCTCCAGCTGCAGTTCGTGCCCTGGAGTAGGATGTGAGCAGAAAGAGATGCTGCGTTGCCATACAAATGTGTCTGCCCGTGCCTGCAGGCTGATGGAAATCTTCTGGAGCAAAGTGTGGGGGATTGGGATGGCCTCTTGCAAGAGCCTCTGCAGGACACCCACAGACCCCTTGCTCCATGGGATGTTCCCCCCCCATCATCACTGCCACCTATTCACAACCCTCTGCTGTTAACACTTCCACCCACTCCAAATATGCAATAGGGCATCCTTTAGACAAAATGCCATTTAGGCAGCTGGAATTCTCTGATCTGCTTTATTTAGGATTGCAACCCATATGCCAAGTGAGGCTGAGAGAGGGAAAAACTGAGCCAGGGACACCCAGTGTGCACCCCAGCAGTGCAGTGCTCAAGGAGGGAGCAGCTGAGCCTCCAGCCTTGTTCCCCGCAGCAGTGTGCTGCAGGGTAAGGAAAACTGAGTGTCTTGCTTCAGGATGGTCAGGAGTACCAGAAAAGTGCTTTTTCTGTATTCACAGCACTGACAACCAACAAAGCACACCACATGTTGGAGGGAAAAGAAAATGCCATGGTTCACTTTGTTACGAAGCATTAGACAGCATCTGTCAGCAGCAAAAATACCAGCTTGTCTGGTTTGGGAGGATGTGGTAAATCCTCCTAATTCCCTATTTCCCTTCAAGAGGCACTGACACATCCTGCATCCCTAAGTTTCATTCCAACGCAGGAGCCACTGCTTTTCCTAAGCCCTGCCGGCTTTGGGAAGGCCTACTGGGGGCCCCATAATAAACTTATCCAGCCTTCTCCAGCAGCACTTATACAAGGGAAAATCCCCTGCTCACCTGGGAGCTTGAACTCCAGCGTGGTCCTTCCTGATGCTTCCTCTCCAAGTTTGTACCAGTGGCCTGCAAGCCAGTGCCATTCCTCAACCACACAGTAGTACCTGCCCTGGTCCCTGGGGTCTGCAGAGAGTATATGCAGCCAGAAAACATTGTTGGACACCCTCTGGCTGAGGAACCGGGACTTCTGTAGAGGAGAGCTGAACTCAGCCCCGTATTTCAGTGTACCGCTGTAGTCAGCCCTTATGATTTGCATGGGAGATGCATCTGCTGGAGGAGGAGGCAGGAGGTACCAGGTAACAGCAAGCTGAGAAGTATTGTGGGCAAACACGATTCTGCACTCAATGGCTGTATCAGCACCACCAGCAATCTCCACAGAGTGATCTTCTGCAGCCACCCGAAGCTTGCTTTCTAAAATGGAGAAACAAAATCATCATGCTGGCTGCAGCTGACAATATGAGGATGCTGGAGAGGAAGGCTGTCCTGAGAGACCTGCTGAAAGAGGAAGGAGAAAGAGGGTGCTAAGAGGACAAAGACCCAGTAAGGGATGCTGGAACTGGGCGCGCGGGAGAAGGGGGGAAAGAGCAAATCCACACACCCTCATTTGAACTGTGGCAGGGAATCACTTGGGTGCTGCTGGGCAGGGAAGTAGCAGAGGAGGCACCTGGGGGACCATGGGGCAGGAACATCGGATGGAGGCAGCCACCATGTTGGAGCTTAGACACAAAGCCTCTGTCTGAAGCAAAGGTGTTTATCTACCACTGCTTCTATTAGCAGGCTCACGCATAAGTGACAAAACCAGCATATGACTTTGGAGGCTGTGAATAAGTGTCTTATCTTAGAAAGACTACAGAGCCTGAGTGGGTTTCACTAACAGTTGCCACCTTGGGTGTTTGCTGTGGTTACTAACCCAAACCCACATAACACAGTCCTGAACATCCATTGTGATTACACTCAGCAATTGTTCAATTTAGCAGTAAACGTATCAGGAGAGGAGAGCTGAGGTGTTGCCTGCAGCTCGGCCCCCCTGGCAGGGCACACAGCTGCTCCTGATGTGCTGCTCCTGGTTTGAGACCCTTTTCCAGCTGCACATCACCTCTTGGTGGCACCTTTCCTACTCCTTGGGCGATGGAAAGGCTGTGAACCCGTCTATTCAAAGGGCCGCTAACTACCTGTGTTTCCCTTCAGCTGAGAGACCACCTCTGTCAGATGGGTAACCGTGGGTAAACAGAAATGACTCAACATGAAACACCATCAGGGTTTTAAGCGCATGTAGGCTGAGTTTCCATTCTTACATTTTCCTTGCATACCAGCTGAGCAGCAGGATGCCCTGTGCCATGGAGGACAGGGCCAGTCAAGCTCTCTTAAGCTCATCCCCTGGGTGCCAGTTTGACGACACACACTGAGATGTTCCCGCAGAACATCTCAGCCCCTGCCCTCAGCCACAGGCTCAGCAGGATGCTCTTCTCTGCAGCACTTCCCCAAGGGATGTGATGGCAGCAGGTTATGGAGAGGGACCGTGGACCAATAGGGAGCTGTGGTTTCTCCTACAGGGACTGGTTGGGAATGGGGACACCACAGGATAAAGTCCACTCATGTCCTCTTTCTTCAAGCATTTCTTCTCAAAACTCAAGCATTCCACTTCAGAGACCATCACCCTCTCTCTTGAGACTGGTCAATGGTAAATATCCCAACTGATGACTCCTGACACTTCTCCACCTCAAATTTGCCGACAAAACCTCCCTGCTGACGTCCACTTACGCTGCTCTTTTCTCTTTGCACCCTATTGCTCCTGCTCCCTCTTCTCTCCACACTCCATAGACACTTTTTCACCAACAGGTCGACAGTTTCCTCCACAATGGGACTTGCACAAGTCCCAGTATCTGCTTACTCCCTTGCTCCAGCAGCAACATCCACTGGGAAGCCCAGGAGATCGCCACTCCCAAGGGATCAGCAAAGAGCTGCCCTGAATTTCACAGTGCGCATTTGCTGCTCTGAAGAAACAGGTAAGGGCAAAAAGCAGAAGAGATGGGAAAGCAATCACCATAATTAGCAAACTATGCAAATTCAATCAGATCCATGCACACAGACATCAAGCAGGCTTGAGAGCACTTACGAACCAAATGCAAGTTGATATCTTCCGACTTCAGGACTTAAAAGCACACTCAGCCCAGAGCCAGCTCTAAGGAAGCACAAACCATCAGAGAGGAACACTGGGCATGGTCCTGGGCAGCCTGCTCTAGTCTAGGTGGCCTTGCTTGAGCAGGGGCCTTGAAGCAGATGACCTCCAGAGGTTCCTGCCAACCTTGGCCACCTTGTTTCTGTGACAGGTGAATTTATCACATGGGAAAAAACAAGACACTTGGCTCTGAATTTCAGCAGCTCAGTACAGAGGAATATAACTCAGCAGCCTGCTCATGTCCAGGAGCTTTGTTCAGGGACACAGAAGGGAGGGCTGACACTATTGCTTGAGTATGGTCCGTCCTGACACTCACAGAGGCAGAAAATAGTCGAGAAGCAAAAGCTACTAGAGCTCAGAGAGAAGCCACAGGAATTGCTGTGGTAAGCACTTGACTTTGATGAGGAAAATTGATGTTATGTTCTCAGAGATCACCTCAAGAGGAAGCAGAGCACGCGCCATGAAGCCAGCTTTGTTTCACCTCCAGCTCTCCTCTCGCTACCACTAAAGATCAGTTACCAAAAAGGGCAAAGCAGCTGCCTCCATCTTCCTCTTGGACAGCAAGACACGCTTTCTGTTTCAGTTTCAATTTAATTAACTGAGAGTCTCTTGCTGCTGGAGCTTGGCGAAGCGACTGCAGACATGGCTGCGCCTCATCCCATTGCTCCTAGAGCCGGCTTCCTTCCCAGAATTACTTCTCTCCCTTCCCAAGTATCCTTTGCTGGCTCATGCTGCCTGAGAGAGACAGCACTAGAGCCAGCAGCCACCTCCCACTGTGCATTGTGCCCTCCCAGTTACCAACATCTTTACAGCGTTGCAGCTGCAATACCTTTGGAGCCAAACGTAGTATCTCTGCTGCTACTGTCTCCTCTGTGCAGATGCTCTACAATTACACCTGCTTATCTGAATGCCATTTAATGACTAATATATGCTCACAGACCCTATCTGTTGTCACCCCTAGCCTCAGTACACCCCACAGATCCCCTGCCCCTGGCTGGCTGTAGCTCAGCTGTAACACAGAGCGCCCCAGCACCCAGCTCTGCAGGGGCGAGGAATGAGCAGCAGCAGAGCAGGAGGGAGAGCACCATGGAAACGAGCCTGAAAAGGGAAGGAAATGTTATCAGCTTATGCTACAGCAAACCCATCAGTTAAAAAACATGGAAAATGCATAATTTCAGTTCACTGAGTTGCGATTCTGAAAATCCAAGGATTAGAAGAAGGAGCACTTAACACATGAAAAAAGAGCAAGAAGTCTCCTTTGCTGGCAGAACAAACAAGAGAGGAATAAAACCCAAACACATATTCTCACACCCGCCTCCACAGGCTCAGTGTCTTTGGCCAGGACACCTCCTTCAGTTCCTCCAGCAGCCCCATCCGTGAGCAGGGCAAGCTGACACCATGCAGCAGGGAGCAGGCACAGGGAGGGTGGGCTGAAGGGCCCTCTATGCTTGGCGTAATTTGCAGACAAATAGGCATTGTCGCTCCCCAACACCAAATCTGCCTCAAAGACTGTTGTCAAGAGCTATGGATGCTGAGGAAGAACCAGGACAGGCAGCACTGTCTTGTGCAGCCCTGGGAAGTGACCCTGCTAGGGACACCCCAGCCATCACTGGTCCTGGTTGCCCTGGCCACGTTTGATGGATTTAAAGTCACAGAAGAGAAGACCTCTGTTGAAGAAGCACCCGTGGCGCTGCTTACCTGGCAGCACCACCTTTATCCCCACAGGATTGGACCTGGTGGTGGCTGCTGGCAGCCCCAACAGCAGGGTGCTCCTCCTCCAGACCTCCACCTCACACCGGTACGTCCCGTTGTTGGCAGGCGCCGCACTGTGGATGTGCAGCCTGAAGGATGCGTCAGCCTTCGTCAACAAGGCTTTCCCCTGGAAGTGTGGCTGTGAAGTCCCACAGGCCAGGGTGCTGTGGTCCAGCTCGTGGTAGTGGCCACCGGGCACGCTGGGCTGGAAGAACCACTTTACAGACACTGGTACCTCCTTGAGGGTATAGTTAGCGCTCACTTGGCAGATGAGTTCAAAACTCTGCCCGTATTTGACAGTGGCAGTTCGGCTTCTCAGCGTGGTGTGCAGACCAAGACCTGCTCGGGAGGAGAGAGCCTTTGGCAATGCGACAGAAATCCTGCCTTATGCCACCCCCCTTCCCACGCAGGACCATCCCCACTGCCCCAGCCACCTCAGCCAGCAATCCTGCTGCTCCTCTGCCAGTGCCAGTGTCCCACTGGTTGCCCTGTGCTCTTCCAGCCCCACACTGACCCTGCCTCTCTCCTACCTCACCCCCTGCTCTCCCACAACCAGGTAAGCCCGAGTACCCTCTCTTCCAGGCTCCCCAGTCCCACCCTGCAACAGGGAGCCAGGGATCCTCTGCTGATGCTGTTGCCCTCTTTGGACCAGCCAATTGCTCTTGGGCATGCAGCCCAGCAATAAGAAAGGAAAACCACCCTAAATCACAGCCAAAAGCTGCCTCTCCATAACGGCACCCATTCCAGCAATCAAAAGAAGAAATGGTGTGGGCATTGCGTGCTGGGGAGGTTAGCAGCTCTGTGCACAGACAGGAGGGCAGAAGTGATGCAATGCCAGCACCACGGGTGTCTCTCTGACAAAGGCCACTATACACCACAGCAAGTGCCTTTGTTGAGCTTAATTACTGGAAGTAATTACGCTGCTAGAACAGGTATTTTGTATTTCAAGCTAAGAAACAGTCAGAAAGACCTGCTGAGAAGGACCCTGCCTTTGAGGTCTCCACATTTTAGCTGTTCTGTCCCAATTGTCTCTCCGAAACCATGTCATGGAGGACTCAAGCACCCTGCTAGAAATGGGGTAAATGAAGCATTTCAGGGCCAGTTGATCAGCCCCAGGTCACCTGGCAGTAGCAGCAGCAGCAGCAGCACTCAGGGCACAGCAGACTTTTGTCCACCCACTTCTCCAGCTTTGCCTCCTGCACATCCAGATTGAAAGCCCCGAAATAAGAGCAGCCCAACTCACCCATGGAGCTCACTGTCACTGCTGTCTCCCCCTGCTTTGTCCAGCTCTGGCCTCGGGACCTCTCTGTCACTTCACAGCCATACCGCCCGCCATCATCCTCATCCAACGTGTTGGGAATCACCAGGGTGAAAGCACCAGAGCTCGCTTTCTCCAGCCGGAGGCTCCCCCGAATCCCACTGTCCCGGTAGGCACTGCCCAGGCTCAGGGTGCCATCTTGCTCCATGGTGGCCACCAGCTCCCTAGGACCCGGGTGGTGCGGTGGCAGGTGCCACCACTTCACCAACACAGGGCTGGTGGCTCCTTGCACCTCACAAAGCAGGATCAGGGCATCTCCTGCCACGACCCGTGGTGTGCTGGTGGACACGGACACGCGCATCCGGCTCTCTGCAAAAAACGGTTATCGATTGGGAGGGGACATTGTTGTGCTCCTCAGAGAAAGCCAGAGATACCACAGCATTAAATGGGGAGACTAGATAAATCTTGGTATTAGAAATGGAATGTCTTTCTTGGGAAATGGATGCATAAAGAAATACTTATGAAATAGAGTCTCAACAGGCAGCCCCTGCTACATCAGAATTGTCATCATCCAGCTATGACAAGAGAACCAAGAGTCTCCTGCACAGCTCTCAGAGTGGTTTCTCACAAGTAATCCCTCCAAAAACCTGAAATCACCCTGATGCAAATGGCAATGATTCCTCCCCATCCAGAAGTACCTGTTCTGCTGGGTCCATCCCATGATCCTCAGGAACAGCAACCGGCATTGCTCAGTTTTCTGTACCAAAGACACAGGGAGACCCAACCTCTCCAACACTTGGTACCTATTTGCCCCAAAACCTTGCAAAAAGCCTAAGCTAAAGGTTTATGCTTTGTTGAGAGCTGCAGCATTTGTCATGCTAATGTTTGCCAGAAGCAAGTGCTTTTTCTACTATTATCTATCAAAACTTAAGGCACATTTGTGCTTTTGCTGCAAACAGCGTGTGTGTTGCCCCTACCAAGATGAGGCCAGACTTGAAGTGTTCCCTAGTCAGGGATCACTGCAGGTTTTACCCACAAGAGCAGCCATTAGGATTTACTAACCTCTCTGCTTCACATTGACTTGGATGCCTGATGACAGAGTGGTGTGGATGCTATGAACGTCTCCAGGAGTCTTCACCTCCGAAACAGAGCAGCAGTATGTGCCGTTGTCCTTCAGCCCCACCTCATAGATGGTGAGGACATAAAACGTGTTGCTTTGCTTGAACGCTTGGAGCCGCCCCAGCTTCACTCTCTCCTCATATTCTCCCTCCAAACTCAATACCCCATGGGGGTCAACCCTGGCCACTTCCACGCCGTTGAGGAGCCAACGCACTTGAAAGTGCCTGCTGTTGCTCTTCTTGGCTCCCACCATGCACTTTAGCTGCAAGGCATCACCTTCAGAAAGGGAACTTGCAGCAGCAGCAATGTCCACGGAGATGTTTCTACCTGTGGGCAGTCAAAAGTAAAGATTGTGCTAGGAGGCCCTGCTCACACTTTCCTCCTGCCTGGCAGCACTGATGGCCGTGCAGAGGGAAACAGGAGGGAATTCTCTATTGAAACAGTTTTCGTAAGAAAAGTCATCAGGATAGAAAACTTTGCCCATGGAGAGACAGTTGCCAGGCACTAACCAGCAGTCACAGGTAGAGAAGGCACCAGAGTCCCATGGAGTTAAGCTCCCCTCTTTACAGCAGAGCACCCACCAAGATGGCCTTGGGTCACAGCCACCCCTGGCTCAGCTCAAGCATCCTAACCCAGAGGCATCGGCTTTCTGGGGGAGCTGCTCCGCCTCACTTCCTGGACTTGTTCTGCTTCATATGACAAATATCCCTTAAGCCAGAGAAGGGCACAGAAGGGCTTTATCACTCAGTGGTGTTTTTAACTCTGCTGTCTGTGGAAAAGGTGAGTGGACATCTGGCCCTCAAGTTGCTTGTCTGAATCTGATGCTGCTGGTCCCACATGCTGCAGCCCTCACTGGCTGCGGCAGAATGGGGGCAACAGACACTCCCCAAGCTGAAAAGGTTTCGGGTTATTTCCCACAGGAAGAAGAAATATCAAGACTTGTAACAGCACAGGGAAGATGGAGGGAAGCAAGAGGAGGTGGAGATCACCTCCTTGTCCCCCATACCAACAAGCAGCAGGCACTGAACAAAGAGGGTAGCACCATGAGGCGCACAAATCCATCTTCTCCTTGTCAGACTCTCTCGGGCAGTCAGATCCACCTGAAGTAAGGACCCAGTGTCTGGGTCCTATGATATGACTCACCTTCCTCACAGGGCCTCAAAGCCTCTGCCACTGATGCCCTCTGGTTCCTGGCACTGGGCTGGCTGAGTGGCTGCAGGCAGAGACCCACAGGGTGCCCCAAACCCCTGTTCCATCGCCTCACACAGCAGCAGCACAGCCAAAAAGCAGGAGGTAGGGCTGAGCCCCAACTCCACAGGCAGGCAGCCTGGCTCACACCACTCCATCTCCTTGGGTCGCTGTAGTGGCCCCTGTGTCTAACAAGGGCAAGGCTACATGCTGCAGCTTGGAGCAGCTCCCAGAGTTACACTGGAAGGGCTTGAGTAATTTATTGAAAGCAGAGTACCCTGTGAATTTAAACACTGGTTCATAAACAGTTTGCAAACAGGAATCCCAGTTGCTGCAGATATGTTTTGCATTCCCAAATATTTGTTGGAAGGTTTATAGAAACCACTGGAGTGGTTAGCCACGGTCAGAGTGGTCACCAGCTGCTCCTGTGATGGGGCATTCAGCCCTGCAGCCTGGGCTCTCCCATGGGACCCTGCTGACAGGATGGAAGGCTCTTACACCCACTGCTATTTCCCCTCCAGCAGTACCAGCAGCTCTAATACAACCACCGTGTTGTCCTCTTACCACTATCACCTCTCTTACAGCTATCACAGGACAAATACTAAACTCTGACAAGGTTTCTCTACTTCTAAACAATCCTGTGGCACTGGTACCCAAAGCCACACTGGTCTTGGCTACTGGTCATGATGAACCCTCTTAAACAAGTGGATGCAGGAAAGCTCACTGATTGCTATTGCTTGCCAGGCAGCAGCAGACATGGAAAGCCGTTGCTGGAAACAGTGTATAATAAAGGGAATAAAGCTGTGCCAGGTTTTAGGAATCAGACTCTGACAGTGTGAGACTGCACTTTGCTTCCCTCCCCCAGTACCTTGCCTCCCTGAGTCACAGGCAGGATGCTTGGCGCTTACCTTTCTTTGGCTTCCTGCTCTGCCTCACCACCCTACCACAAGACATCGGTTTCCTTCCCAGCCCCAGCTCTGCAGCGTCCTCCATCCACCCTGAGGCATGGGGACAGGGTACACCACATCCCCAGGCAGGTTCTCAGTGAAAGACTTGCTCCCATTTTACTGCATATGTTAAAGGGTGTCAATTAGATGCAGACTTGTCTTGGCTGCTTTAAGGTAGAACTTACTTGTGGGAAAGGGAGGTTTTCCCTTCATCTGGGCACAGCTACCCACACACAGCTGAGGAAAGAGCAGGGAAATGACTGCAGCCAGAAAAGGGTTTGTGTTCAGATCAGTGGCAGCAAACACACAGCACTGTAACCATCCCAGGGCAGTGGAGAGAGAGGGTTTTTCTTATTGGCCCTGGAAGATGTGGCACAGAGCTTGGAGATGCCAGGAGCCATAGAATCATAGAATAGTACGGGCTGGAAGGGATCTTCAAAGCTCATCTAGTCCAACCCCCCTGCAATGAGCAGAGACATCTTCAACTAGATGAGGTTGCCCAGAACCATGGGACCAGAGCCATGGGAAGCTGCTGGGCAGAGAGAACAGTAGGTGCCTGTCAGAGAGTGGTGTTTGGGAGGATGGGCAGCACTTGTAAGAGGCTGTTTTTTAAGCTTTCCTATTGTCATCCATCTTACACATGGTAGCAAGTCTAAGTCTCCTCCTTCTAAATACATAATACTGCATTTTCCTAAAGTGTAAGCCAGGAGTTCGGTGCACCTTCTTCAAAGCACAGTCTGATTGCCGTAAATGAACTACTAGGAGGGGACACATGGATGGTCTAATAAACAGCAACACCAGCTGCCCTGGAAACCAGCAGACTGGTGACAGCATGAACAGACAAGGCTACTGCTAGAGCCTTAAATGCACAAAGGAGTTGGAGCCAACATCTGAGTTTGCAAGGGCCTTACCCAGGCTCATGATCACCAGCGATGTCGTCCCCGTTTGCTTGCGGGAGATGTCCTTCCACATCCCATCAGGATCCTCAATCCACTCAGCTGCCTCGCAGTACAGCTGCCCCTGGTCAGAGGGTTCCGCTCCTGCGATGGAGAGCTTGTACGTGGTGTTCCCAACCTTGTTCAGCCGCACATTTCCCGACAGAAACCTCTGTGTGTAAGAGGGCCCTGGCTTCAAGACAAAGTCCTTGGAGAGGGTGAGGACCTCCTCAGTGTGGTGCTCTCCTGCTCCATGAAGATGGTACCAGCCAACTGAGAGATGCGTGTGCTGGGCAGTGAACTTGGACACCTCACAGGTGAGCTCCACCGCTTCCCCTTCGGTGCGGGTGAGGACCTGCGGTGCCATGGAAGCAGAGAGGGTGTCTGCGATCACTGAGCATGGGGAAGAAACAGAGAGCAGATGGTCAGAGGGAAAACTGTCTCTTGGCCTCAGTGGGCAACATGCTGGACACTATGAAACTGTGGCTAGGCCCTAATGGATCTGACATTACAGGAGAAATATCTTGCATAGTTGATTGACAAGGCTTCCATCAGCCGATGCCAAGGTGTGTGAAGTGCTTAAAATCCCAGCAGGCAAGAAAGCACAATGAATCTCTCTGCAGTACCCTCTTCAGTCAAACTATGAGCAGTGTTAATTAGGCAACCCCAAAGAGATTAACATCCAGCCTCTCACAATCCCAAGTGCAGGCTGGTACAACACCAGCATAAAGAGAATACAGAGGTGAATATCAAGGGTAATTACTATCATAGAACCATTGAATACCAGGTTGGAAGGGACCTCAAGGATCATCTGGTCCAACCTTTCTAGGCAAAGCATGACCTAGATGATATGCCCCACCACCCTGTCCAGCTGAATGTTAGAAACATTCAACATTACGGAGTCCACCACTTCCATGGGGAGATTATTCCTATGGCTGATTGATCTCATTGTGACCATACCACCACATAACTCTGTGGGCTCACAGCAGAGCCCTTCCATTTGCCTCTGCACCCCATTACCTTCCCTATTCCCTGACGCTTCCCTCCATATGCAAGTATCCTGCCTGGGTGAAGTCCTACACCCTGACCCTGAGAGCACACCAATAGCTAATGCACTGAGCCTGAAAACTCCTGTCCTCTTAACTGCTTAGCTGTGAAATGCTGTGGCTGCATCAGGAACTGAAATTAAAATCAGGCCATGGGACAGCACAGGACAGGCTTCCTCTCTCTTCCCCTGCCCTGGTTGGGAGGCAAAGACCAGAGCACCCTGCAAGGGGACATGCTCAGCAGTATGCCCATGGGTAGCAGCAATCCCACAGCGGGAAGAGTCCACCAGTCCCATTAACCACCACTTTTCCCAGCTGCACCTCTGTCAGAGACCCAGAGACGAGCACTTCTTGTGCTCGTGGAGGCAGTGCAAACCCGGCCGTGCCCCTGCCCAGCACCAAGCAGGACTCTCTTTCAGGACCTACCCACGAGGTTCATCTTGGCGCTGTAACTCCCGAAGTACCTCTCGTCGGTGTTGGGCGTGTGGCACTCGTACTCGCCGGCGTCCCGGTCCTGCAGGTCGGTGATGTGCAGCAGGACGGCGTCCCCCTGCACCCGCTCCACGTAGATGCCGCGGCTGCGCACGCGCTGGGTGTAGATGGCGTAGGGGAAGGACGGGTCGACGGTGCTGACGATCTGCACCTCCCGCTCCGGGGCCGAGGGCAGGTAGATGGACCACTGGAAGTTCTGCTCCGACGGGCCCTGGTAGCCGCTCACCTTGCACCACAGCGTGACGTGGGACCCCCTCACACGGTAGAGGGGTCCCTTCTGAACAGTCACCACCCGCTGACCTGCGCTCAAGCCTGCTGGTAAATAGTCAGCACGTGTGATGTTTGCAGGTATATGGTGCCTGGTAGCTGCGCACCCAAAACGGCAGTGGGTCTGGGTGTGCATGAAACTACAACTGAAAAGAACTGCTGTGCAATCTCATTCTTTGAAGCGTGAAGTCCAAGCAACATCACACCCCTTGTAATTATAAGAACAAGTCCTGTTACAACAGCAAAGTCCTTTGACTTTGACAACAACTTTGCTGTCTCTAGCACACTAGAAAGCAAACGACAGAGACCAGAGCATCATGGCCAGAACGCTGTCAAGCCTGCTTGTGGCAGGAGAACATCTCTTAGCCAGCAACCAGGCTGAAACCACTGGACGAAGCTTGTGGTGTGTTACAGTTCAGAGGGCCAAGCGCTTGGGTCCTGCACAAGCTGAGGGATAAGGGAGCAGTTGCCAGAGCTGACCACTGCCAGGGAAGGACATGCAATGGAGAAGCCGAGGGATGTGGGTAGCAGAGGGAACCAGCAGGCTGGGTGCTGCAGAGTTGCTCCCTGGACAGAAACCAGGGAGGATGTGGGAGATGGGGCCAGCAAAAGCTCCTCTGAAGGCCGGGGGCACCAGGAGGCACCAAGGGCTTCCCTCTGTTTCTGCCTGAAGAGGGTCTGGGGAGGCGATGGCCACCCATGCGCCCTCCCCTCCTGCAGAGCTCCCAGTGGCGTCACTCGCTCTGTTCTGGTGCCCAACAGGCACACCAAGCAAAATGCCCGCGGATGTGGGCACTGAGTCAAAACCAGCCACAGACACTGGCTCAGGGAAGAGAACTGGTGGCAGCACAGCCTAAGAAACCCTCAGAAACCCCCTCCCAAGGGAAGGGGAGATGAAGTAACCCTGTCCATGCTCACAGCAGCCGCACAGCAGGGGCGCACATGTCCCCTCACCAAAACCCCACGAGGGTCCAGGCTATTGCTTTGCAGTGAAACCACACTGCCAAAAGGAGACCATGCCACTGCAGCTCTTCCCACGGCCATCGAGCCAGAGCAGCGCTGGCTGAGCCACACACCTACAAAGTCCCATTTGCACCAAGGGGATGCTTTATATCCCCCCCAACCTCAGGAAAGCCACCACCACCACCAGGCAGGACACTCACCCAGGAGGAGGAGGAAGGCGGCTGCCAGGCACTGCCCCAGCCCCATGGGAAACAGCTCTGCTTGGGTCCGCTCCCAGAGAGGCGGTGGAAGGCTCTCACAGGCGATGGCGACAGCTGCCCTCCTATTTTGAAAGCATTTGGGAGGAAGCTGCCTTGTGGTGGTGGTTTCCTCTCTTCAAAAATGGTGGGGAAAGGTTGGGGAGCTGGGTGCAACGTAACATGCCTGTGGGAGGTGACAGCCAGCACCCCAGCCCCATGCTGCAAGGGTGATGTCCAAGGCTGCTGTTGCCTGGTGCCCAGTGGCTTTGCCGTTGGACAGCAGTTCACAGGCTAACCCTCTGCCTCATGACTTCCACTTTGTTGCATGAAACAGCTCACTCCTGGCTAACAGAGAGGGACAGGGGCAGATTTCTAGGGATGAAGCTCCCGCCAGCTAATTATTTTTCCATAGCTGCAGACAGCAGCATGATGCCATAGGTACAATTTGGGGTGGCACAGTGCTCCCCAAGGATGGCTGACGAAGGTCTACCTCAGGGTGCAGTGGGCACCCCAAGTGGAATGCCTCTTCCACAGTAGCCCCCACCAACCCATCAGCTACACAGGCAGGAGGACCCTCTGTTGTAACAGCCAGCCCAGTCCAGGAGGCCTGTCAGGTCTTGAAGGATCACCACGCACCAGAAATCAGCTGGAATGCTCTCCTGTAAGCACATCCCATGGGTAGGCACCCAGATCTGGGGATCCCAGAGGTGCACTGCTTGCAGGGGTGGGAGCTGTGCTGGGAGGACTGAGGCCAGGAGGCTGCTGGCATAGCCCCAGAGGCAAGCCCTGTGGTTGTATCGGATGCTGCATGGCATCGTGCCATCGGCACCGCATGGCCTGGGGCCAAGGACATGGTGGGAGGCTGATGGGGCACATCCTGGGCAGCCTCTGAAGCGAGGGGCTCAAACCAGGGACACTCTCTGAGAAGACTTGTTTAGAGCTGTTGTTTTGGTTGTGGCATAGGTTTTTTAGTTTTTCTTTGCTTCCCCAGAAAGGATGGCAGCACAAAGCACTTACTGCTGCTCCTGCTGTGCTGCTGGGGCATCCACTGAATGACTAAATTAGCTCAGGGATTCACAAGCAAAAACCAACCGTAAAACAAGTCCTTTTGCTTGATCCCACGGGACTCCTAGAGGGAATGAGATTCATGTAACGAAAACAAACACAAGGTCCCTCCTTTCCCTGTTTAATAAACTGATTCATATGACAGCCTGAGGGGCCAGAAGGTAGAGGCTCCTCACTACAAGGCTGGTGCTTCCATTAGCCAGCTCCACACCAGCACCACACAGCTCCCCAGAGCCAAATCCAGTCTGGGAGAATGGGCTGTTGCAGGAAGCAGAGAGGCCCCTGTGGGATCTCACCTGTCCCCTGCAACTCACCCTCACTACAATGAACTGGAGCAGAGGATCAGCATTTGTTTTAGGGAAGAGGGTGCAACACAGGACTGAAACGCATGCGCTGGCTCCTCAGAGGAGATGAGCAGATAGAGCAGAGGCTGGGAAGCAGCAGAGTGCCCCAGCACCTCTGATGGGGCCCCACATCCTATGGAAGTAGGACACAGTTACAACCCCATGGTAGGCTTCTGTTCCCTGCGCAGGATGAAACCCTCCTGTTTCAGAAGAAAAGGGATGAAGGGGTTTGCTTTTCAAGAGCAACCCAACTGCCAGCAGTGCGCCGGGGGATGATCCTGCTGACAGAAAGCCAACCTGCTTACCACTCTGGAAGAGGGAATAGCATCTCTGCTACAGCAACAGAGTAAATGGAAAGGAAACTTGGAGTTCAACCTCAGTGAGCTTCTGACAGTCAGTGTGCAGATAAACACACACAAGGGGACAGTTTAATTCCAAGCTTGCAACTCTAATGATGCATGAGTCGCTGTTTACATTTGCAATAGAGAAACCAGGGAGAATAGGATTGCCTGGCCCAGCCCTATCACTGGCAGTGATGATGCTCTGTGGACAAAACCAACAGCTCTGGCTTCCTTGGACTGTGCAGTCTAAAACTTACTGTCTTCCTCTGGGAAATCAGTTCAACCAGACATACAGCAGGGCTATTAAACACGCTAGGCAGGATGAACGAAGAGAATCAGAGAATCCCTTACAAAGATAGCATTGCCACTAGAAACATCAGGGAAGCCAAATCCATGGAGAGAGAGATCCCTTTACCCTATTTTCCTGGATATGACACCAAACTGGAAGTGAGGGGGAAATATGCTTCTTGGATATACTTCAGAGGGTTCCTGTCTGTACCTAACAAGGAGCCGAGGACTTGCTTCCTCTGAACCAGGCTTGCTGAGCTGAAGTGCTGCACCAGGGCCACGGTCATTGACCACTGTTGATCTCCAGCCCCTAGCACAGCATGGCTACTGCCAGCACCTAAGCAGCAGGGCCACCTCTCCAGCAGGGTACCACCATCTCCCACTCTACAGCACAAGGCTGGAGGTCAGGCTGCCCATAGCACTGGCTTTGGCTTTCTTGTGGGTGACGATCATCTTTAATTGCATGCCTCCCTACCTATTCTTGTCCCTCCTGGATCCCTTTTGCAGACATTCTTCTTGGATGCTGCTCAGCCACTTTGAGCTAAAGCTTTCCAGAAAAACACCCCCAAAAATGCAGCATGGAAGGTTTCACCAGACCCAGTGCAGCCACGGTGGAGTCAGACTTTACTGAAAGGAGCACAGCAGCAATCAGCAACATCCACAGTGACCTGGAAACCTCCTGGACAGACAAGTGCTGACCAGATGCCCTGTTGGCACACTGCAAGAAGCCTGAGGAGGGATGGGGATAAGGCAGAATCACTCCATAGCAGGGTAGAAATGCTACAGAAAAAGCTGTTGAGGATGAAGGAGGCAACCGCATCATCAGTGTTGGTTTTTAGGGGGAACAGGCTGCTGAGAGCCAACAGCAATTAGGTAAGCACAGGGGAGAGGCTGCAGGCAGATGCCCTGTCTCGCTATATTGCCCCCACCTGATCTGGGTGCCTGAGACCAGGGCAGCTGTGGCTTCCTCTGCCTGCTGCCTTCACATTTACTGCTGGCTTCCACCCAACACAGCAGAGGCCACAGCCTAACCCACCCGCTGGAAAGTACCAACAAACCCCTCCTTCCAGAGGAAACCAGACCTCAAACCATGTCTTGGGCAAATCCAGCTTTGCACAGGATGGGGTTTCGGCCACTGCCAAGGTTGCTTGCTCTGGGAGACAAAAAACCAGCTTGTAAAAGAAAGGGTTCCCCCCATGAGGTTTTGGCATTGGTATGCAACGTCCCAAGTGAAAGCCAATTGCTCTGAGAGGAGCACGAGCTCTGTGGCCTCTGTTCAGAGCAGTGGCATTTCCTCACCCCCATCCAAGCCAGTCCTCAGCAATGACCCACTATCTGCATCTCCACTTGCACACACAAGCACGCTGGGGCTCCCCAAATACTGGAGCAGAGGTGGCAAAAGAGCTGAGACCAATTTGAGGCAGCAAGGTCACAGCACAGAGGCTGAAGGGGGCAAGGAGAAAACAGCCCTCTCTTCCCCACCCCTCCTCACCCTCTGGCTTGCACAACCTGCCCTGGATGGGAGCCCTGCTGCCCAGAGGCTTTTTGGAGGCGGAAAGCACATAGTGCCTACTTAGCTGTTAACACCTTGGTGCCATAGAGAGCTCCCTGTTCTTGTGACCAGATTGGGGGCAGGGAGGGAGAGAGAGGATACAGTCCAGAGGTGCAGGCTATAGGTGAGCTCTCCAAAAATGACTCCTCTGCCTCTGCTTCACAGATCTCGGGAGCCATGGGCCAGCTCAGAAATGCCATTGCCACGTATCCACTGTGACTGGGGAGGGGGAGAAGGACACGGAGGGATGGAGGCTGCAGCCTTGAAAGCAAAAGGGCTGGTGCCAGGAAGGGTAAGGGCATGCAGGGAAGAGCACAGCATTAGTAGGGATAATCTGGCAGTCTTGGGGGACGTTCCAGAAGCCTACAGATAATCAGGGGAGCCGGCGCAACAGACTTTGAAGTCTGCTGTCAGGTTTGCTCAGCCCGGCTCAGACATCAAAGGCAGCTGGTTGCTTCCCCCAATTACAGAGCCGGAGCCGGCCAGCTTCCCAGCTTCCCAGCTTCCCCAAGGCCGGCCTGCTCAGCTGCAGTCCCCTGGGCACGCTCCTGTGGGCAGGAACCTCCTGACAGAGCACAAATGCTCCTGCTGGAGCCAGGCTCGCTTTGCGGGGAGCTCATGGGCTTTCACCTTGGGCTGTTTGGAGCCAAGTGAGATCCCGGTGGATAAAGATCTCCCCGCTGATGTGCTGCCAAACTAACCCTGGTGCCAGTCCCAGGGAGACCACACAGCCATGCGAACAGGGGGAAGCCTAAAGACGGTGAAGAAAATAGCGACCTTTGCTCACGGGAGTGGGAAGAACTGCTTTTGGCACTCAACTTCTGCGTGTCCTGGGCCCGCGTGGCAAGGACAGGGTCTTCATGAGCAAAACCCACAGCAGCACAGAAAGGCTGCTGTGATTGTTTTGCACTGAAAAACAGTGTTATTGGTACAGCAACTACAACAAATAGTGAAAAAGAAGCAATTGAAATCTAAGAGCAGAACAGGCTGGAAAGCAAAGAAACACCCATCCTGTGCAGCTGCAGCTTTCTAGGACTCTGGCCTCTCTCAGCAGTGAGCAGCCAGGGCTGGCCCAGGAGGAGAATGCCCACAGCTCTTTTTTGATGAACTCATGTTTGCTTGGGTTTGCACCATCGTTTCTACTGCAGAAAGTCAAACAAGCACAAAATTGTCCAGGACACTGCAGAGACACCAAAGCCCTTCAGGAAAGTGGGATGGGTTATTCCTGCTTCACTGCCACAGCAGCAGGCAGAGCCTGCACGTGCCTCATATTATCCTAATGAAAAGTGCTCTTTAGTCCCTTCCTTATTTTTTTTTTTTTAATCTTCTACCTCCACAAAAGGGCTGAAAAGCCTCATTTCTCTATAGTCATAGCTCCACCAGTGTTTGTAGTTTGGACCAACAGTGCATTTCTGAC